ATTTAACAATTTAACAAGATTATTCTAAAAATTTAAATTTAACAACAATTTAACAAGATTATTCTAAAAAATTTACAAGGAATTCCAGAAATCCAAGAATATACCCAAAACTTTCATGCAAAATCAGACACTTCTACCACGCTCTTCTTTATGATGTTCCACCCCACCTCAGGCCTAGAACAATGGAGTTGGCTGACCACAGACTGAGACCTCTGAAATTGTGAACCCATAAATCTTCCGTTCTTTGAGTTGTTTTTTTCTCAGGTATTTGACACAGTGATGGAAAGGCTGACTAACAGCTTGGTACTTGATGCTCTGCCAAAGTACTATTTTAAGTATTAAGTATGCCACAGTGCAAACTGACTTATGTTTTTATTCCCTAATGGTCCTTGGATTAATTTAAATTAAGTCCATGTTAGAGTCCACGGATGTCAGTGTTCTGCAAAATTGGCTGGGATCCAAGGCTAAAAGCCATCTCAGAAATCATTCTACCCCACTCATCTCTGTTCCCTCTACAACTGCCACCAGGGGTAACTTCTGTCTGTTTTTAACTGTATTTTGTCACTCTTGTAAGTTCCATTGCTTCCTCTTATTTTATCTTTCACCAGATACTATTTTGTCGAACTTTATTGGCGTAGTACCATCCATAAAACCTGTAACATGTGTCCGGGGCAGGGGGCCATATTTTAGAGGGCCCATGCCTTTACTGTGTGGGATCTGGCACTCAGCACTACTCCAGCATCACCATAACTCTAAAGGTCTTCTGCTGTGACTTCATATTTGCTTTATGTCCATGAGACAAGATTTCCTTGCATGAATGCTGTGAGATTTTGTGTGTTGAGCCCCTGCCAACATCTACTAAGGAGTGTGGGAAAGTCTAAATGGCAAAAGTGTTTGGATAACAGAAAAGATAGATTCAAGCATTTGTCGTTCCTTCTTTTCAGAGAGCATGAATCATTCATTCAGTGTTCATTCCTGATAAACTAGGTATCTTTTCCCAGCAGGATCAAAATGACCAATATTTTTTGCCTCTCTGTGGTTCTAGTTTGTGATTCCAGGGGTTCTCATCGATTAGTGTGAAATTATAGAACAAATTCCATTACTCCCACATTTATAAATGCATGCATGTCTAAATATAACATGTATAAAGATTGATACCAATTCTTTCCTTTGATAATTAAATGAACACAGAAAGAAAATTTGAATTATAAACATATTTGTTTAAATAAAATATTTAACAAGATGTAAATTAACTAAAATTTTTTAGCTTTAAGCCATTTTGACTTGGATTCTTTATTTTCTATTCTTATAATTGGTGTTTGATTTTTAATTTTTTTGTATGTTTTAAAATTTGTTTTAATTAGTTACACATGACAGTACAATGACCTTGACATATCATACATTTGATTTTTAAATTTTAAGAAACAGTTTTTTGGGGGAGGTACTGGGGATTGGACTCAGGAGCACATGGTCACTGAGTCACATACCCAGACCTATTGTTTTTTATTTAGAGACAGGGTCTCACTGAGTTGCTTGGTGCCTTGTTTTTGCTGAGACTGGCTTTGAATCCTTGATCCTCCTGCCTTAGCCTCCCCAGCCACTGGGATAACAGGCATGCACCACAGTGCCTGGTGTTATTAAGAACCAATTTAAAACAGTTGAGCAAATGGTTTTTAGGTCTCTATTATTATTATTATTATTATTATTATTATTATTATTATTATTATTATTTTCTTGGTGGTACTAGGAATAGAACCCAAGGGTGATTTACCAGTGATCTATGTCCCCAGTCCTTTTTCTTATTTAAAGACAGGGTCTCATTAAGTTGACCTAGCTGTCTTTAAACGTGCTATACTCCTGCTTAAGCCTCCTAAATCTTTGGGATTATAGATGTACACCATTGCCCCCAACTCCATTTATATTCTTTCCTTGGAATTAGGAGTGGGCCTGTTGCTACATGCCTCTCTTGTGAACTTTCTTGGTCCCTTCCATTAAAGTACTAGAATCATATGTTTGATATGTTGTTTGCTTTCCATGTTTCAACCAAGTGCAGCCTCAAGAAAAGGTAAGAAACCTCAGAAAAGAAATTTTATGATAAGATTATGCTCCACAGAAACTATAAAAATATTCTAAAATGTACTCTGAATCTATTAGATTAAATGCACAAAGCAATAACACTAAGTCATTCTTCCTAAGTGACGCAATATCTCTATATAAATGTAACCTCTTCCCATATTATTTGTTCTAAAACTTCTACAAATCATAAAAGGTTTTCTCTTCTTCCTCCTTTTCTGAAAAATGCTCAATTCAAATTAAAGGCCTAATTAAAATTTACAAGTCTACAACATCTCCTGGAAAGAATTCTTGAAGACAGTTAACACTACCTTCGTTAAAATCCACTTGAAAGTTGTAAACTTTGGGGTAAAAAGTTTAACTTTTCTGAGACTTGCTTTCACTATAGGTACAGTAGGTCTAAATCAGTATATGCTTTAGAAGAACATAAGGTGGAAGGCACAGCCTTATACAAGAAAGTACAAGGATGAGTCTAGGAGAAGGCTGGCTAAAGTTTGCCCAAGAGAGAATGTCATTAGCAGAGGATGCCTATATATGTACTTATAAGATCATATTTCTTTTCTTCCTATATCAATTTCTAACACTACAAATGTGTAATGAAATGATGTCTATCCCTCCATGGACCCCACCATTAAGGAAAGAATTTTATCTGGTTTTTTTTTTCCCTAAGTAACTAGCACAATGCAAGAATGTGTGGGTGATGCTCTGTATATGAAGGAGAGAAAGTGGTGTAAAACAAATGTGAAATTTGTCAAAATCAAAATATAACCACTAGTATTGACCTTCTCAAAAAAAAAAAAAAAAGGAATCTGGAGGTGATGGTGATGAAGACAGCATTCTCATTCACAGGATTGCCTGATAATAACTAGCACAAAAGACTTTAACAAACCAACTTTGCAAGAGGCCACCACCTTATGCAAAATGTACAAGGATATCTGCTCATCAACAGTCTGTTCAACCTCAGATCAACACTGCTCTTGATATTAATAATAGGAGTAAAGGATTATTGCTTCAAAATGTCTGATGTAATCCTCCTTATTTTTATCTTTAAGATTTCTCCTTGCCTCAATCTCTTGGAATATGCCTATAGTTTATTATGATCCGTGTATTGTCATTGCCCATTCTCACCTGTTCTCAAATACATTTCATTTTCTTTGGAGAATTTCTCTCTTTGCTTTTTTTTAAGTTGGCAATGGCAAGAAGAAGAGAAAGAAAAAAAAGAAGGAGGGCCAAGAAAAAGAAGAAAGGAGAGGATGAGAGAGGGAGTGAGGAAAGAAGAGAAGCAAAGACAAGCTGCTGGCCGATTCATCATCTTACTTCCTGAAGCCGTCTACTTCCTTGAGGTAGCAGAAAGCACATTTGAAAGTGTTTTTCAGCAACTGAGGGTTGGACATTCTGGATTTAGTCTAGCCCTAAACTTAAGTCCCACCCAGCTTTTAGCCTTGGGTAAGTTCCTTCTCAGTTTCCTTGTGGGTAATACGGGCTGATGGGGTATATGAAGCGTCAATGAGATATTGTCCGTATGGCACTCAAAACAAAGTTTGGCATGGTCAGGACTCAAAATAATAGCTGTTTGAGGTTTGTTAATATTGTAATTATTTGCTTAGGATGGTACCACTTCAGCACCCGTCCCCAGGGGCCCGCCCTCCGCTTCGCTCGCGCTCGCCCATTGGCAGAAACGCGGAAGCACTTCCACCAATCCGCTGGACTCCGCAAGACCCGGACAGGGGGCGGAGCCAATGGGCGCAGGATTACAGTCGCCTGGATACGCTGTAAACAGTGGAGGTTTCTCGAGCCTCGCAGCCCCAACAGCCGAGTAACCGTTACAGACCCTAACTCGGTCCGGCGCTTGCTGCCCGCCGCCCCGCCCCGCCGAGGCCCATGGCGCAAAGCAGGGAAGGAGAAGAGAGTCCTTATGCTGTCTCTTCCCCCAGCGGCGCGACGCTGTCGGTGAGGTGCGGCGTCCACAGCCCCCGGCCGAAATTAAGTCTTGCGGAAACTCCTGACCTGCGTGCCTTCCCTACCCTCCGCTTCCTCGTACACCCGTCCTCCCCGCAACTTCGCCTTCTTCTCCGCCACCCGCAACCCTCCTCACAGACTCAGTCCTGTGTGACCTTTTATGACCGCTCTTCCTCCCCCTTATTCAAGAAGGGTCTCCAGGCCCCTACCGGTTTCCCGCCTCCCCCCGACCCCTTCCATTTTTCTGCCATTCTGACCCTTGCGCGCTTGCCTTTTATTCCTCTGCACAACCTTTCATTTCTACTTCCTTTCTTTGGCTAAGTTTGCCTGCAGTGACCTGGTTCCCCTGGCCTTTCATACATATCCCCTGCCCCACCCCCATCCCACGGATAGCCCCCATTCCGTTCTTGCAGTATTTAGCGACATTCCCCACCACCACCACCACCAAAACCAAAATTAGGACGTCAAATCCTGTTTTCTCTCATCCACTAACTGGATTGATGTGCATTCGTAGCTAGCTCTGAAAAGCATAAAGCGTCACACAGATGCAGGTGGTATTTATCTCCTCACCTACATTGGTACCCGGGGTCTATTCAATACAGCATCCTCTGTCCACCCTGCTGTCTCTTCACATTCCTTGAGGTCACTCAACAAACCAGTGCCCTTCTCTGCGTCTTAAAGTTTATCTTAAATATTTAAATAAAAATAGAATCTCTTATCTCAGACTCTCCTTCCTTCCAGCAATACCTAACCACGCACTCCTCACTTAAAAGTACATTCCTTTTATATTCTAACCTATCACTTACATCGACTACACTCTTTGTTTTCTTCATTTATCTGTATTTTTAGGCCTAAATTATGGCCGCATATTCTATGTAAAGAAGAAATTTTCCTATTTATCTTACAACCACAAAGAATGTTGCACTACCCCAAGTTTTTTTTTTTTAAGTTTTAGAAATTACTGATTATAAAAGAAGGGCCCAAGTTCTTTTTCCTCTGTGTTGTTTTCACCTTTTTTCTTCCAAGTATAGAAGACCCCAGAAATCCTTCTGAGGCTTTCTTAGGCTCATTCAGAGAGGATTTTTTTAACTGAAAAAATTATCAATAAACAGCTCTTGAGAACTGTTCTCAAAGCTAGAAGATGTATGAATTTCTTTTTTAATCTTGCAGGTTATTTTGGCTAGGAAGGCAGTAAAAATAGATGTGTTTCAAACATTTTGATGAGTTTTTGTTCACTTTGTTAAAGAGAAGAAAATTATTATTTGAAATGTATTATATTGATGGTGACATATCTCTTCCCAAAGATGGGTGCAAGGATTCCCTAAGCAGAATGTTCATTTTGTTACCGAAGACACCATTTGCTACCCTAGTGGGAATTATGTAATATTTATTAATATTGAAACCAAGACAAAGACTGTACTCCAGTGTATTAATGGAATTGTGGGCGTCGTGGCAACTAACATTCCTTATGAAGTTGTGGCTTTTTCTGACCGGAAGCTAAAACCCAACATCTACATATACAACTTTCCTGGATTGACCAGAAGGACCAAATTAAAAGGTATCCTGGGGGAAGTGTCCTCTGTCCATAACTAAAGATTTTTTGTTATAATACATGACCAAATCTAGTTCTCATAAATGAAGGTAGTTTGTATTTTAAAGGTTTTTGTTTTAAATAGAAATCAAACTAAGCACTAAATTTTTAAGTAAGTGGGCTGAAACCCTGCTATTCAAAATGTGGTCTGCTTACCATCAATATTGGTGCTACCCAGGAATCCTTTTAAAATTGCAGAAACTGGTTCCCACCCAGACCTACCAAATCAGAACTTGCATTTTTAAAATTTTTTTAGTTGTAGATGGACACAATGCCTTTATTTTATTTATTTATGTCTATGTGGTGCTGAGGATCGAACCCAGGGCCTTGCATACACGAGGCAGACAGGTGCTCTGCCACTGAGCCACAACCTCAGCCCCCAGAACCTGCATTTTTAACAAGACTTCCCAGGTGAATCATATGAACATTAAACTTTGAGAAGCACTGGGCTAGAATACTGTCCTTTTTCAGAGCAATGACTTTTTTCTTTCCTGATGATTTATTGAAAATTCAGGTGAATTGATGTTTGTATAATTTATAAGGACAAGTCTCACCCATTAAATTGGGATAATGTTAAGGCTGTGGTAACGAAGAAACACACACACACTCATACACACACACACACACACACACACACACTGTTCATCAGGGTTACCTACTTTTTGACCTACTCTTGACTTATTCATGGATACAGTTGACCAAGTCTGAGCTGCTGTACATCTCCTGATCCTCCATGTAACAATTCTCAAATTTAATACACCAAAGTCAGAAAGTTCATGCTGGCCTTAGTTCTGAAATATTGTAGGTTGAATGAGTGTTTGGGTGACATAGAAAAATGGCACAATAACCTTTATTTAAAATTAAAACATTTTATTTGTGGGTAAATATATCTGTGTTCTCAATAGATTAAGACAACTTTTTAAAATATAATCCATTCTCATGTTAGGAACTGTCCATGTGGACTATAACCACTCTTCACCCTTAAAAATTCCCCAGCTTATTTATTTGTTCATAGCCCTCTGCAAGCAATCAGAAATTAATTCAAGCTGGTGGACAATGTACATACTAAAAAATGAAACCCTAAAAGAATTCACGATGAAAGTATGAATAAATCATCAAGGATAACTATTATTACCACTGTTATTTAATGGTGTAATAGCCAATTCTGATGTCCTACCCAATTCAACAAAATATAAAACTGAAAAAAATATAACTATGGGAAAGCAGCTTATGGGTGATGCAGTAGTCTGCTATGACCAATAAAAGAATTTTCAGTAAGATGGTTACAAAATACATACCCATGTAAGTATAAGATTTAAATACTTAGGAGTAATCCAAAAACATAATAGTGAACTAGATGAAGAAACAATATCACTAAAGCATTTAACTCCATAGAGACATATATTCCTGGCTGGAAAACTTGGTTATTATAAACAAATATTATTTCTAATATTTGTTACAGAAAATAACTCATAGGTTTATTTTATTTTAGAAACAAGGAATACTGAAATGATCCAAAGTCAATCTGAGAAAAAAGAAAAGAGCATAATTTGAAAGAGGATGGAGGCAAGACAAAAGGTCTTTGTAGCATCTTGGTGCTATCATAATTAGTAGTGTGCTTTTGGTACAGGGACCTCCAGGTCTGTAAAGGAGTTGTGGGCAAAATTTAGAAAAGTTAAGCATATGGTGAAGGAAACTCTCAAAAAGGATATGAATTATTCAACAATGATGTTAAGAAAAAAATATTTGAACAAAAGTATCAAATGGGATACTCGTTTAACATATTTAACTCATTTAACGTACATGCTCATTTAACGTATATGCTCATTTAACGTATATGCTATACGTTAAAGCATGTATCCATTTGAAAAGTAGAAGAAAATGTGGTAGAACACAGAAATGATTCAAACACAATTAAAAATAAAAGATTCACATTTAATTACATACAAATTTAAAGCTTTTTGAACATCAAAAATACCTTGCAAAATTAAAAGACAACATGCCAAGGAAAATATTTGGAACAAATATAATCAAATATTTTCAGAGAATTTATGAAACTATAAGTAAAAAGACAAACATCTCTGGAGAAAGATGGAAAAGGAACTTGCCTAGACAAAAGATTACAAATGACCAAAGACATCGAAAAAGTCCCATCTCAATATTCACTTTAAAAAGTGTAAACTGAGATGCTGTTTTTATGCCAATTGAGGTCACAATTTTTTAAAGATCATGATTGCTAGGCAGAGTACAGTGAAATTGGTGGCATTCTTTTTTGCCAAAAGTGGGAGTATTAGCTGATAGAGTCTTTCTGGGAAATATTTACAAGAAAAAGAGTTCAAGTTTAAGGAAATACAGTAATCAGAAATGTGGTCAAAGATTTGCGCAAAGAAGTTTCGAGTAGGGTCATTATAGCTAAAGATGGAAAATAACCCACATGCCCATATGGATATGGTTAAATAAGTTAAAACCTCCAATAAAGGGGTATTATCACAAGCACTAAGGATTACATTTTTATAGAAACATTAATGATCAAATGCTCACATAATATGAACAAAAAAAATAGAACTCAACTGTATGTATAACCCAAATTCCATTGTAAATGGAGTATTTATTATATATAGTATTCAAGCCATGATTATAGCTACAAAAGCTACATTTAAAGAACATGTACTTTTAAAGTGAATAAATAGAGGAAAATACCAGAAAGAAATTTTCCAAATTTGGTGATAGAATCACAGAGAATATATTTTCTCTTCTCCTCCCCCCTTTTTTGTATTTTCTTCAAAAAATCATATTTTTAATTTAAAATGTATATACAATTAATAGTTTTCAATTATCAGGGGCAACTGTATAGCAATCATTCTATTAAGGCCTCATCCACAGAAAAAATTTTATTTTTGCATGGATGCTTCATTAGTATATATTGCTTTCTTTGTTAATTAGACTATGCTAAATAGATTCAATTAATGGCAAATTTACATTTTAGGATTATATTATGGTCAGGTAAAATGAGAAAGGCAAAAAAATTGGAAATGGGGCCATTGAAAATACATAGATTAAGTGATGAATATAAAGGCAGACCAGAGCACAGGCAAAACTTGTACCTGTAGACCCACCTGAGTAGAAAAAGCGAAGGAAATCACACCCCCAATCCTGGGAAGCAGAAACAGACACTACCCTTTCTCAGCATCCCCAGGGTGCACATTTTAAACACTGTTATTGCTGAGACTTTAATTTCATTAAGTCATTGAGGCTGGCCTTGAACTTGTGATCCTCCTGCCTCAGTCTCCCAAATTGCTGGGATTATAGGTGTGCACCACCACACCCAGCTCTTTTAAAGTAAAGTTGCATTTCTTTAACTTGAAGTACAAATCAGAACAGAGCTTTTTGAGGTTCCAAGAATTGGAAAATATTAAGCTGAGGGGCTAAATATGGCCTCGAAATAGAACATGGAGATAAGCTAGAATTATTACTACCCCTCAAGGTAAAATTTGAATAACTGTTATTGATGAGATACTTCATGGCTCTTGGGTTATTTCAAATCATGCTAGGACATTTATGGTGCAGTATCCTCCATTCTGCAACAAAGTGTAGAGACAGTGACTGCTGGTCTTAATTCATTCTAATATCTTTTAAAAATGAATCTTAACTCTCTACTCCTAGCTTTCTGTTCATAGTCTTAGAAGTCAGCCAGGGGATCTCTTACTCCAGTTGTTTAAATGCTTTAGAATGATGTAAAGATCACTAGAAAAGAGAAACAGCTATAAGACCATAGTTAATCCCAACATGCCAACCAAATCCTTGTAATGGATTTTATATTTTAGGCAACATTCTTCTGGACTACACTTTACTTACCTTCAGTTACTGTGGCACCTACTTGGCTAGTTACTCCTCTCTTCCAGAATTTGAACTGGCCCTCTGGTAAGTTTCAGCATCCTGAAGAATTCCTTTCACTGGATTACATTTGAATCTTCTCTTGGATTTTATCAAAGGAAATATACATTAGAATCTGAAATAAGGAAAAATGGAATAAATAAAAATCCCGATTGTAAGGTCTAATATAATTGTTACATTTAGACATAAAATTAGGCAGAGCAAAAACTATAAATAATTTAATGATTGACTTTCTCTTTTTATTAAGATGCTGCAATATTTCCTTTGTCAGGTAAAGAAATAATATATTATATGTATGTATAAGTATATTCTTATAAATATGTATAATTATACACCTTTTCTTAACATATGATACTGCTGAGTTGTTAGCATGTTTTCAATGAACGCTGAATTTGAGATGGTCTCTGCATTAGACCTGCATTTGAAGTAATTGTGGAGACATTAGAACAATTATTTGCTGACAGTAGAATGATATCCTGCCACCTTTATAACAGTTGCCTGTGGATTAGACACATCTTGATCCATGCTGGCTCATTTCCCATGGCCAACTTCACAGCTGCATTCACTCTTCTATCATGATATAAATCCATGCAGGGGGGAATTTGTTTTATTAAGGGAAAGTACAAAATGTTCTAGAAATGACTGAGGACACTGGTACTTACCAGCATTTCTTGTACAAAAATGTAAGAATCTAGATTCAGAGAGACATATGTATTTAGTTTATGTAGAGTTTTACAGAACAGTTGAGATATAATTAACATATAACAAACTGCTCATATATAAAGCATACAATTTAAGTATCAAATTACATACACACCTATGAAGCTGTCACCATAATCAAGACAATAAATGTACCCATCACCCTGCAAAATTTCCCTGCACTGCTTGAGATCCTCCTTACTGCAATATATACACTTATCCCTGTCTGTCCTGTCTCTACCCCATTTCCAAGAAATTACTGATGTGTTTCTATCATTGTAGATTGTTTGCTTATTCTAGAATCTCACAGAGTTAGATAGTGTATATTCTATTTTGTCTGCCGCCTTTCATGCAGCATAGTTGCTTTGAAATTCACCCCTGTTGCTGTGTATCTAAGGTTGTTCCTTTCTAGTGTGTGGTATGGGGATACCATAATTTGTTTATCTTTGTATTTGCTTGCTAAGGCTTTTGTCATAAAGTACTGCAAATTGAGTGACTTTACCAACAGAAATGTGTTATCTTACAATTTAGGACAGAAAGCACGCTGGGAGAGAAGACAAGGGCATAGGTTCTGATGGCTCCAAAAGCAGAAGACTACACTTACCTTTCATACGTGCAACCTGTGAATGCTAAAAATAGCACTGACCAGGAATGAACAGGTCATTTAAAACAACAGACTTGGGCCTGAATCCTGGCCTCATAAATAGCTAGCTGTGTGATTTTGGAGAAGCTGAGCTTCAATTTCTCCTCTACTAAATATTTTCTAAGAATTCACTCAGTATAAGCACAATATCTATCAAGGTATTTATTTAAGTCAGAGACTAAGAAGTCATCATCTTTAGGCTAATTCTGGACTGGAATATTTTTTTTTGGGTCACAGAATATTTTATAAATTGGAAACTCTTAGAGAATAAATTATCTGGCTTCTCTTGAACACGGGCAACTCTGGACCTATGGTCCCACAAGGCAGTAGTCTCATATGTGTTATTGTGCGTGGTTGCTTACTCTTCTAGAAGGTCACAGTGGCTTCTACAATCCCAAATGGGGGCCATAAACTGCCCATAAGGCAAGGATAGCTCTCCTCTTGTTTTTTTAATTAAAGTTTTATTGGAACATAGCCATGCTTAATTGCTTATATATTGTCTATGTCTGCTTTTGTTCTATAACACCAGAGTTGTGTTCTTATAGGAATCATATATGGATCACAAAACTTGGAAATATTTACTGTCTGGTTCTTTATAGAAAGAGTTTACTACCCCCTGACTTAGAAGTGTATATTCAAGACATTTCATTCCTTTGCACTAGTTTCCTGGCCCCTATGGGCAGCTGCATTTGCTCACTGGAATCCAGTAAATGTTTATCCCCTGATTTCTGCTGGGTATATAATGTCTCTTTTCTTAGGCATCTTATAACATAGTTTGGGGAAGCCTGAGACTTCTGTAATGGGTGAAGCATTTTTGATAGACAAGGTGGGACAGAGACTTAAGGGCAGTCTCTCCCCCACACTCCCATTCCCCTTTAATTTTTGCATATCTCAATATTCATGAAAATGTCTATTTAGGAGTCAGTGTTGGAGGAGAGAAACAAGAGGGCAGGGGTGAGGAGAGCAGAGGAGGACAGAGCAGCTGCTGAAGGGAGACCAGAGATGACTCTGTTGTGAGGAGATTCTTCTTGAGGCCAGGCACTAGTACAGATGCCCTAGGGCCCCATGAATGAAAGTAGGCAGAGCTGGGAGATGGACTTTTCTTTAGATTTCTGCTGTGGCACCACAGGTTCTGGAAGCTCTGGGAGCAGCCTTGTGGCACCTTAGGTTGTTGCATAGAATATGTGAGTGGGATTTAATCCTATGATGGGGGACCAAGAGCCTGAGGCTTCACCAAGAGGTTTTGCTGGGGCAAGAGGGAGCTGTAAGATGAGCAGGGAGGAGGTGACAGCAGCTCACCAAAATAAATACATTACATTTTATTGGAACATGACCAGGCTTTGCCCTTTATCTAACACTCCTTGGAATGGAACTTTGTTATCACAGTATCCTGATTGATAACCCCATGTAATAAAGGCAGGCGTGACTTTATAAATTAAACTTGGGAACAGATATATGATGTTGCAATTGAACCCTGATTCAACCCCTGGAAGGAACTATGTCCAAGGAGAATTTCACCTTTACATTCTAATGTTTAAAGAGAACACAGTGGAGTCATGTATTATTTCTATGATAAAAAATGAGAATTTGAAAAAATATATTTCAAAGTAAGAAAAGAATGACCTCATGCTATAGTCACAGGCTGGGGATGTCTGGGATATCTGGGATCCATCAGCAAAGGGCATTAGGCAGACCCACTGCTATGCTCATCACCAGTTTCATCAGAGAATGAGATTTCAAATGGATAAACTCATTTAATCCCCACAAAAATCCATGGGACATCCACACTGGTTAGTCCTCACTTTAAAGAAAGCAAGCTTCAGAGAGATTAGACATTAAAACAGAATTTTCAAACAGTTGGTGAGCATGCAGAGAAGTTTTATATTTTTCCCTAATAATGGAACCAGCAGGAAGACAAAAGAAGCTATTCCTGTCACAGTCCCTTTAGGTTGGATGGCTTATAAACAACAGACATTTATTTCTCCCAATTTTAGAGAATGGAAATCTGAGATCAACACACTGGCAGCTTTTGTGTCTGGTGAGAGCCTGATTCCTGATTTGTAGATGACGCCTTCTCCCTGTGTCCTCTCACGGTGGAAGGAATGAGCTAACTTTCTGTAATCTCTTTTATAAGGGTAACAATTGCTGGGCACACTAGCACAGGCCTCTAATCCCAGTGGCTCAGGAGGCTAAGGCAGGAGGATGGAGAGTTCAAAGACATTCTCAGCAACTTGGTGAGGCCCTAAGCAACTTGGTGAGACCCTGTCTCAAAAAAGAAAAAGGGTTGGGAATGTGTGTTAAGTGCCCCTGGGTTCAATCCCCAGTACAAACAAAAAGAAGGTGGGGTAACAATCCCCTTCATGAAGGCTCTGTCTTTATGACCTAACTCTTCCCCCAAACCATCCCCTATCCACCCCCAACCAGAGTTAGCAAAAAGAATGACTCAAGAAAATTTCTAGGTTGCATGCAAGAATGGTTAACTTTCCAGAGGTCTCTATAACTGTAGCAACTTTAAACTGAATTAATCTATCAGGCAATATAGTCACAGCATTATATCTGTTCCAGAGTTTAACTTATAAAATCATACCTGCCTTTATCACATGGGGGCTGTCAATCAGGATACTATAACAATAAAGTTCCATTCCTAGGAGTGTCAGACAATGGTGAAAGCAAGGCACAAAGTCTGTTTTATGCTTCTGTTATGTTGTAAAATGCTTTCTGGCATAATATGAGAAACTGAACCAATGCAATCTTTTCTTTCTCCAGTTTGAATTTTTTATGAGCCACTAGCTTAAATTTAAACAGCTGGTGAATTGCTGAGTGGGGTTAAAACTTGGAGGGGTCTGAACATTTTCATAGCTCCCCATGGGAGCATGGAGAAGGGGCCTCTCATCTGAGGATGGCATGGGTGGTCAGGGAAGGCTTCCTGGGGAAGGGAGATGATGTTCAGGTCAATACCTGTCTTAGTTTGCTAGACTCATCATAGCAAAGTACCACAAAAAAAACCCCAGAAATCCATTGTCTCAAGTTGAAAGACCAGAATTCCTAGATCAGAGTGTTCATTCCCTCTGAGGGCTGTGAGAGAACCTGTTCCATGCCACTCACCAACTTCTGCTGTTTTTGGCCATCTTTGGCGTCACCCAGATTTCTTCTTCTCACATGGCATTCTCTCTCTCTCTCTCTCTCTCTCTCTGTGTGTGTGTGTGTGTGTGTGTGTGTGTGTGAGTGTATGTGTGTGTACATCTGTTTCTTAATGTCCCCTTTTTATAAAGACACCAGTCATTGTATTAGGGCCTACACTAATGGCCTCAGTTTAGCTGGATTAACTCTGGAAAGACCCTGTTTCTAAATAAGATCACATTCTGAGGATACTGGGATCAGGACAGCAGCATATGAATGGGGGGGGGTACAATTCAACTTAAAGCAACACCTAAACGTTGAGTAGGAATCAACCTTAAATGGTGGGAAGGAAGAGGATTTCAAGCAGAAGGTTCTAATTAAGAGGGCATAATAAGGGAAATGAGATTAGAAATGAAAGAGGCAAGTCTGGAGGGGTGGTCTGCAGCCAGCTCAGGAGCAGCCTTATAAATAGGTGATCATAGTTGGTCATGCAAACAGGACACTTTTGAGACTGAAAGGGTATGTTATCAATAATTAATATAGAGAACAGACACAAACTGGGTTTATCCTGGGCATTCTGGGAAAGGGACTCACCTTACATATAAGCCATGCCAACGGGCACATCCTTTATCCTTAAGGCAATGGGAAGCTGTTATGAGGTTTTAAGCAGGGATGCAACATAAGCATATCTGCATTTAAGAAGACTGCTTCCAGCCATATTTCGGAAGGTATATTGCAGGCAACAAAGCATAAACATCAGTTTGGAGGCCTGCTGGTCCAGGGCAGAGATGAACATGGCGTGAGTGAGGAAGGGACAGTGAGGATGTTTGGGGGGTGTTTAGGAGTAACATCATAAGACCTGGTGACCTACTGAATATTGGGTGTGGTGCTGAGGGGGAGGAATGGGTTGAGGGCTAAACCTAGAATTGTGACTTGGGCAATCTGGAGACATTACTCAGAAAGATATTGAGGGCCTAGGAAGAGACAAGTTGAAAGAGGCAGGAGGGGAAGAAGAGTTGAGGGGGCAGGCAGAGTTGAAGGTGCATGAGGTATAAATGGAGGTGTCCATTGGGTAGATATCAGTCAAGGTTGGGGTTGATTTGCTGAAACAGAAACACAAATCACCAACAGAAGTTTCTCTCCCATGCAGTTGTCTGGATTCGAGCTGCCCTTGGATAGTATTGGTAGCTCCTCAGTGCTGGTGGCCAATCTCCTACTATCTTATTGCTCTGTCATTCTAAGGTGTTGCCACCATCTCCAGTCTAAAATGGGGTGCTACTCATGTATTTTGAGAAGCTAGAGAGAAGAGGAAAAGATGAGAGGGAGGGCATAGACTTTCTGTTGCACACACCACTGCCACCTAATCCCATTAGCAGCTTAGCCATAGCCAAAAGGGATGTTGGGAAATATGGTCCTCACTGTGGGCAACCATGTGCCTAGCTAAAATCCAGGGGTTCTGTACTTAGAGGAAGAAATGGCTAACAGATATTGGAGGACACACATGTTTATGCAACGAAATATCCATGACTAAAGCTTAGCAGGGAAGGCTAGAGATCATTTTGGGTATTGTTGAAGCAAATTGATCATTCAAATGTCACAAGTAGAGTACTAAAGAGAAACTAGAGGAACACCCATCGAAGGGACTAAACAAGGAAGAGGAACCCCTGAGGAGATTCATAAGGAGCAGACATAGAAGGAAGAGGAACACTAGTTGGGAAGGGTCCTAGAATATGCCGCCTCCTGGGTTCTACAGAAAGCATAACTGAAGCAAAACCCACAAGCCTGTTCTTTGATAGGAATCACAACCCAGGGGGATGGTAGGAAAGGAGAAGAGCAAATATGAGAGAGAATTACTTTGCAGCCATCACTGGGTACCATGTGCAATTGATTACGCTACTGAAAGTGGCCTTCAGAGATGCTTTATGAACTACTATAAATACAGACTGTCCCCAGGCAATGAAAATGACTGAAGAAGGGAAGAAGAAGAGACAAGAATTTATCTGCTGACTCCTGTACCCAGTTGATCAAAGCTTCACAACACAGCATGTTGATTCACCTGCACTTTCAGTTTTCTTGCAACCTCTTACACCTCGTGCCCAGGTGTGCTGGCTGAGTAACATGAAGCTAATCAAAGCAGAATTGTCCACAGAATTGGAAAATCACTGAGTCAATTTAACAAAACCAGAGAGGTAGTCAAGCACAGTTGAGCCAAAGAGAATATGAAGTGCCCCGTATGAGGAATATGAGAATCCACAAGGTAGCTGCGAGCAATGTCAAATTCTGCAGAGGTAGAGTTGAACAAAAGTGTGCCTGTAGGATTTGGGATGAAGGTAGACATCTGTGTAGACATCTCGAACAGTGTCCAGGGAATGGTGGTGGGGAGAAACAGACATTCTGGGGTATGAGAGAGAGGGACTAAGGGAGCAAGTTTAGCACAAATCACTTAAGAAGTTAGGCATGGATGCCTGGAATTGAAGGAAGCCTTTTAAAATGATGGTGCAACTGAGCACATACATGTTGATAGGAAGGAGTGGCAGGGAGAGGCTGAAGATGCAGGAGAGAAGGAGTCATAGATAAATGAATGTTCTGAAGAATTCAAGACCTGTAGGATTCAGCACAGGTGGTGAAATTGGCCTTTGATAGGAGGCAAGACACATCCTCCATTATAACAGGAGACAAGATATAACCCTAACGGGTGTGGAAATTGACAGCAGGTATTGGTGGGGGGTGGAATTCTCAGGTAATGATCTTTGTGGGAATCAAGACTACTTACTAAAACTGAGAAGAAGATAGAAGAGTTAGGGGCTGTAGGAGAGAGAGTATTCAAAATGCTTGCATAGGCAAGAGACCCAACCAGAGAAACAGCAGGATTGGAGTTTGTACCAAGGGTCCAGTGGGAGTGGTAATCACAAGTTCATGGTATCACTGACTGGCACAGCCCTGTGACCTTTGTTCCTATGTCCCCAGCTGTCCATGCATTGGTTGTATCCACCCAGGGTTGACAGGCTCTGCCCAGTATCTGAGGCAGAAAGTCAAAGAATCAAGGGAACCAAAGACTGTAGCAAGAGAGTAGTTGATGTGGTGGTCGTGGAAGACAGTGAGAGCAGGACAGAGCTGATTGACAAATTTAGGAACTACTAGTTCCTGTTTCCTGATGAATCAATTTTAAAATGCTACAGTTTTGATTTTAAAATCTCAGTAAATGATCAATTAACATTGATAAGTATGGTATACCCAAATTCATATGGGGTATTCATTCACAGTGCTTAGGAGTTTGACACCACATATATTTTTCAGCAAATGTGATGATATATTCCATTTTCTAGATTTGGCTGAGTTAAATGCAAACTGAATAAACAGAATAAAATATGCCTGCTGTAGCATAAGACAGTGTGACATTTTAAAAATAGTTATTTTGTTTCTTAAAGGGATTCAGTATAATGATAAGCATACTTACAAATTTTATATCAATGTCATAATATAACACATATATAAATATGATTATATTTTAGTTATATAAATTATATTATAAATTATGTCCCAATTTATGTATTTTATGTATTAAAATAATTAGATACATATTCTGAAAGCATGATTTAAACTAACTTTTCCTCAAATGTTATTTTCCTCTAAGGAACTGGGAATCCAATGTCATCTTGTGCAAGAAATCCCAGCCTGGTCTGGATGTGAGCCAGCTGTCTTTTAATCCCATGAACTGGCGCCAGCTCTGCTTATCAAGTCCAAGTACAGTGAATGTGTGGACCATCGAAAGAAGTAACCAGGAGCATTATATCAAAGCAAGGTAGGAGGCATTGTTACCACACAACCACCAAGTGGTGGTCTTTGTTTACATACATGTAATATGGATGGGTCAACTGGATAAATCAAGTGGCTTTAAACACACATACATACACACATGCACATGCTCATGCATGTACATGCACACGGAGCTTAAGTTATAACATCTTTCAACATATATCATTACCTTAGAGTGGTTATTTGCAGTTCAGAAGATTCTCTTTTTCATTTCCCAATGAGTTTCTTTTTAGTATTGAGTCCTTTGAGAGCTTTTCCCAACATGGTTTAATTTAGCAAAATTTGATTTGTACCTCCTATTTTGAAATACTATAATTGTACACAAAGGACATTCATGATGCTCTAGTAAAACATCAAAAGTAAGAAACTGTTAGAGGAAATATACAGATTACAATCTACATTCAGCCATATTACCCACAAAGAAGTGGTTACATATAATGGAGTCACTATATGTTTAAAAGAAATGGATCAGGGCTGAGGTTGTGGCTCAGTGATAGAACACTTGCCTAGCATGCATGAGGCACTGGGTTCAATCCTTAGCACCATATTTTTAAAAAAGTAAATAAAGTTTAAAAATAGGTCAAAGAAAAATTCTGGAACAAATTGTTGACAATGGCAATAGATGATGATAATGGATGCCTCTGTCAAAAAAAAAAAAAGGTCAAAGACTCAGTGTGCCACTGAACTGACCACTTCCATCCTGCTCCAAGTAGTCAAAAAAAAAAAAAAACCCAAGAGATGTTTAACAGATGTAACCTTAAAATTGCAATTTTTAAAAAATTGCCTTAAGTGATGAGTACATCTACCCCCTCACATCCCCCTGCAGAAGTTTTCAAGCTGGAGAGCTCTAAGCAAGGCCCTTCTTTCTGCTCCCTACTCTGCATGTCCTAAGCCAAATCTACCTCTAGGCAGAGTCGACACACTGCTTCTCTTAACAAAGTAGGTGACGTCTCTATCAGAACCTTGTCAGGGCAGTCACTAATTTATCACACCTCTGTCTCCCTTTGCTTCCCTGGAATACACTACTCTAGTTGTGAATGTTAACTTGTATGATTTTTTGATAAGCAGATAAAGTGGGGATTGTCCTGATTCAGGTAGCAAGTGGGATTCAAAAACACTTAAAGCCTTACATTTAAGTACTAGGTACTTTATGTCTCAAAATAATTTTTCATTTATAACATATAATCAAGAAAAATTTAAATTTAGTGTATAAGGCCACAAATTCTCCAAACCCACTTTTCTAACCATACTATGGATTAAAAGCTGACATATGATAAATTTAAAAATTAATTCTTAATATGAGAGGTTGCAACGGTAGCTGAATGCAGACTACACATGTTTATTTTAGCCCACAGTGTTTTTTATTTGTATTAGTTGCTAATGTTACATTTGAGACATTTCTCATACACATTCAGGTTATGATATTGTCTTAAAAGTTCGGAATAAAATTTCACACAGGTCAACAACCCTCTTGGCTGGAACTAAGTGATATCTGCCACCTTTACAAGGAATATTTTCCTATTGGTTATAGTCCCTCCCCTGCCAAGTCACACACTCACCTGCCTGACCCGTTAGCATTAAAATTTACAATTCTTGCTTTAGATTATTAGCTTTGGAGAATTTTGATAATCCCTAGTTTCATAATTTATAACTGGGCATAACTTGTCCTTTATGACATATTATTTATTTTAAGATATACCATTTGGCTTTTATCTTTTCGTGTGTTTTTAGGTATAAAAACTTCTGACTTCTGGCAGTCCACTTCCTCTGTGGCTTTTCCCTCTTCTCTCTTACTTTGGCTGTTAATCATACTCTCTCTTGGCTCTCTCATGTGCTGTCAATGAAAATGATGCCAACATCTGCATCTCCTGACCCTGGATCTACTTGCCAACTTCCACCCAGCATCTCTACCTGGTTGCCTTCCCTGATCCTCATTAGTATGTCCAAAACCAAAATCACACCTGGGCTCCCTGCTCTGCCACCACCCTCCCAATCATCCAGACTAGACACTGATAAACAGTGGTTGCATCAAAGATTAGTTTCTGTTAATCTGATAGTTCTGATGTTTCTTTTTTTTGTACAGGTCGGTAAAACTGCCTCTAGAAGATGGCACATTTGTTAATGAAACAGATGTGCTTTTCCCCCACTCATTGCCCAAGGATCTCATCTACGGACCTGTGCTGCCACTGTCAGCCATTGCTGGGCTAGTAGGTGAAGAGGCAGAAACTTTCCGGGTAATGACCTTGTTTGCCCAACAGTTGAATGGCTCAGTGGATTGTCTAACTGTGGCATGAGGCATGTAGGATAGCTGGGATCCTCCTGGGTTTTAATACAGATTAGCCACAGAGAGTGCTAGAGACAAAGAATGGAGTTTCTAATCTGGATGACTGGGAGGGTGGTGGCAGAGCAGGGAGCCCAGGTGTGGTTTTGGTTTGGGACATAGTAATGAGGATCAGGGAAGGCAACCAGGTAGAGATGCTGGGTGGAAGTTAGCAAGTTGTTCCAGGGTCAGGAGATGCAGATGGTGGCATCATTTTCATAGACAGCACATGAGAGAGCCAAGAAGGGAGTGTGATGAACAGGCAAAGTAAGAGGAAGAGGAAAAAGCCAGAGAGGAGGTGGACTGCCAGAAGTCAGGAGGAGAAAGAGGAGTCTGAGAAGGCCTGATCCCAGAAGTAAAAGCAAATCCAGGAGAGAGGAACATAGAAAAGAGTGGAGAAAACTTTCCAAAGGGAGAGTTTGTCAAAGGCTGCACACTGGTTCATTCCGTCAAGTCCTTCTAAGTAGTGACAATGCTGTTGTAAGCAATGAGGATCACATGGTGACCAGCCAGGCATAATCCTCAGATGGTTGATGTCCTTGTCAGGAGAGACAGCATTAACAACTCAAGAGCAAAGACAGACATAAAATTGTTGCAAAATGTGATGATTGTGGTAACAGGATAAGTGGGGATGGGGTGGCAAGAAAGGGATTCCCATATGCTGGTTGAGAAAGGCCTTTGGGAAGAGTTTTACACCAAGACTTGAAGTGTTACAAGCAGAGTTAGTGTATTGGGTAGATGGAACTGCATGTGCAATGGCCCTGGGGGAGAAGAGGGTTTGGCATGTTTGAGGAACTGACAAAAGACCTGTATGTTGAGAGCATCAATGAGGACAAAGAGATAAATGAGATGTGTGGTGACGCTCAAGAGGGAGACAGGGCACAGTCAAAAGTGGTGCAAGACCTTTGGGGTGCAGGCAAGGAGCTTCACTCTTGGGATCCTTTGTGTTATACTGATGCTTGTTTTAAACTGTAAGCGGAGGATAAAAGTGGTGGAAGTTTCCAAATGTTTTTGACCACTGCAGAAAATTGAGCTCTAAATATTAAAAATAGCTCAGTGTGAGAATTGTAAAATCTCTCTGACAAGTAAGAAAAAAGAATCATACCCTTTGGTTTCCTCGAATGAATGACAACGATTGGTTTTTTAAAATTAGATCAATTAGAAAATTGATCCAAGATATAATGACAAATTCCTTTGTTTTGATTATCTTCACCTTGGAAATATCACCACACTCAGCCACAGGAGGGCAGCAAAGCAAAAATAAATAGAGGAACCTATGGTTATAGGTTGTGTTTAGTATTTGGTGCCTAGTACCGGCAAATTCCAACTATCTCAAATGTTTTCTTTTTTCCTACAGTGATTTTCTACAGGAGCCCTCATCTTTCACATTTTGCACCAATATGATAAATCCTACATTAACATTTAAAATCCAGGCAATTGTTCTTATTAGTGGAAAATGCTATGAAACACTTCCTTTAATTATTTTATGTGGAATTATTATTGCTAAAAATGCTCATAATAAATAGACGTATTTATTTCCTAGGATTTTTGCACCCAGTGCATTTTAAACTTCTTCTGAAAGCAACAAGTTATAGTTTGACATCTCTTAGTCATACAGAGAATACCTTGCATTTGAGTTAGGAATTAATTTTCCCAGTAGTTTAGTTTTTTATTTTATAGTTAAATAAGTGAGGAAAATGGCTAAAACATTAATGGTTGTGCAGCAAGCAAAAAGCATGACTAAAATAGATCTCAAGTGTCTTGATTTCATTCCTTCCTTTGAACGTCATTTCTTGTGACCTGAGTGCTAGTCACAGAGAAATTAATAATGACTTAATCTATATAACAATCTTAAAACTTACAAGCTGTGGACTTTTACAATATTACAAAAATTAAATAATCCCATTATCTTTCTAGTCGTTAATGCTAGAAGTACACATTATAGGCCTTGAAATAGTCCCGAGTCACATTACATAACTTATTTAGGGCATTAAAAACATATCCCATTGTAGTGTGGGGAAATCTGAGGCAGAAAATTGATCCAAGATATAATGAATTTAATGTCAAGGATCCAGTTTCCTTTTTCCATCTACCCACCCCCACCCCAAGGGTTTTTTTTTTCTTTTTTCAGAAGTTGATAAATATAAATCTTTTTCTTATAACTTAAGTATTAAAACATATTTTGGAAAAATACATTTTTCTTTTTTTTTTTAGTTGTAGATGAACACAATATCTTTATTTACTTATGTTTATGTGGTGCTGAGAATCGAACCCAGGGCCTCACACATGCGAGGCAAGCTCTATACCACTGAGCTACAGCCCCAGTCCTGGAAAAATACATTTTCTAAAGCAGCATTAAGTTGGACTCCAACTTTTTATATTTAGTCTTCAAGTGATGAAAAAGGAGGTTATGTTATTAATAAATATTTTTAAGCATAATTGGTAGCTTTCCTTTTAAAACTTTTATAACTTTCAGAATTGAAAATTATTACATCTGCTCACATAATCCATATAATATCACATTTATTTTAAGTGACAACAAATAGACTTATTAATGGAAAAGTAGTAAGACAAGTTCAGATTTATCTTAAGAAAGTAAATCCACATATAATACTAGTTTAATATACAAAGATTAGACAATTTCCATTTTAATCTTCATATTCTGTTTCATATGACAGATTCATTGGCTTTGGGAGAACCAGATTGGTGGTGGGTGTTTTGTTGTTGTTTTAAATATTTTTTTTATTCTTTTAAATATTATTAAATTAAAATGGAACTATACAGGGCTGGGATTGTCGCTCAGTGGCCGAGTGCTTGGCTCACACATAGGAGCCACTGTGTTTGATCTTCAACCCACATAAAAATAAATAAATAAGTAAATGTATTGTGTTCATATACAACTAAAAAAATATTTTTAAAAAATGGAAGTATACACCTCAGGTGTTCAACTCTTGCGGTCCTCCGTGTTACCCTCTGTGTTATTCAATTACTCAGTGTTTTAGTCAGCTTTTTGGCTGCTTGTTTTAAAGATTTTAAGCCACTGCCTTGCCAAATAAGTTCTGTTTTAAGGTTTATAATCTAAGGTTAGATGTCATACAACCAACTTAAAAATACTTTAAATAATGGTGACTCAGTGAATGACTATTTTCCCCTGTGAGTCAAATCTCAGTCAGATACCACAGAAAAGTCATTGATTGGCAGCAGTTGAATTCTTTTGGATGGCTTTTTTTTTTAATTCATTGGGGACCACATGATTACTTCAGCATTTATCTTCCAACTATCCAAGGCTAAGAGGCCATTAATAGTCCAATCATATAATTAAAGTCACTATCTTTTTTTAAAAATTGCCATGATGAGTCTTGCCATGTCTGGCTGCTGCCTTAGACATATTTCAAGGCATCTCGAATGATGATTTCTCTTGAACCCCAACCTTGCACTCACCAAGAAGAATCCATTGCTTTCAGTGACGCTTCTTAAACACCTCTTTACCATAACCTACCATGTCTTCTCATTCTGCTATTGTCAACACTGCTTGTTCCATCAACAGGTGATTTTCCTCAGGACCTGGCACGATGCCTGATGTATAACCAGTACCCAGTAAATATTTATTAAAATATCAATCTTGCTACAAATTTGTACCCCTCAGGAATCTTCTAGAAATAGTGACTTTGATAGAGCCACACTTGCCACTACCTTGTAAGGAGCATAATACTAAAGTGTTATCACCCAAGACAGGGATCAACAAACTCAGGCTTCTTTTTACATCCCAAGCTTAAGAATGGTTTTTGCATTTTTCCCATATTTTTATTGGTGCATTATAGTTGTACATTTTGATCTGTTTTACATGTTGGTTTGATTTTTGCATTTTTTAAAGATTAAGAGAAATAAAAAGAAGATACAGACACATACCTATGTGGTCTACAAAGCCTAAAGTATTCACTGCTTACCAGTAAACATTTGGTTAGAACTTTGGTCCACTTTATTTTCAGTCCCCAAAGTAAGCTTTTCTTCTAGGTACAACCCATAGATTTTGTGTATTTCCCTTTCCAGGAAATTAAATCACACAGGATGTCTCATGAACTAAATTTGAAAGGCCCTAGGTTCTTGTGTCCACTAAGAATGGCCACAGAATCAGAACAAGCTCCTCACATTCTCCATGAACTGCAAGGCTGCTCCAAAGCGGCCTCTTACATTAACCACCTCCTGTAGAACAAGGAGAGGGGACTGCAGATGAAAGTCTTTCCCCCATGGTGATTTTAGCTAGATAATGGCTTTCTTAGATCCAAGACCAAAAAAGTCCACAAAGAAACATTTTAGAAGATATTCCTCAAAACTTCCATGAGAATCCCTGAGAATGGCAGAGCTCTGAATGTGTCAGCAGGAACAACTCTTTTTTTCTTAGTGAATTAAAAATAGAGAGAGGAAGAAGTTCGCTTAGCTCTTAGAATATGGTGAGACCAATTAAATTTATTATATGAGTGTAGTCATTGGTTTCTTTTTGGCAATTGTTTCGATGGGTATTTCTCTGACTCTTAGCCATTACTGCTATCCTTAACATGAGGTTTTTATTCTTTCCCTGAAGCCAAAAGACGATTTATATCCTTTGCTTCACCCCACTATGCATTGCTGGACTCCATCAAGTGACCTGTATGTTGGCTGCGAAGAGGGTCATCTTTTAATGATTAATGGAGAAACCTTAAAGGTGACCGTGCTCCAAAAGATAGAAGACATGACACAGTCAGGTGAGAAACTGCTCTGGCTTTAGCTTCGCGTGCACTTGAAGATGGGTGCTTTCCCCGTTTCTCCTTTCTCAGACACATCTTTGATTCCTCCTTCTCTTTTGTCCTTTAATTATTTCAAAGTCCTGCAGACACTCCTCACAGCCAGCTACTGTCTATATGAAGGGTTGCTATGCACTTGGCATTCTGCTTCCTATTTGTATGTGTGTTTCATGTACCTCACAAATAACATAAGCAGATGCTTTATGACCATACATAGATTAGGTTAAGAAATGTGCTCAAATTCATCTATATCACGATGCTAATGTCTGAATCCAGACAAGAAGACTTCAGTCTAAATTCTTAGCTGCCGACCTGCATCCTTTCCCATGTACATGCCCCTTCTGCTTAGACAGCTGATCATGCCTTTTCCTGTCCCCAACTCTTTTCAACCCATTCTGCATGGTGATCATCTCCTTTCTTTCCAACTTCTTCATAAATATTACCTTATGTTGCCTGGTTAGAATTTCAAAGAGAAACTTGGTATTCTCCCTTGGGTCCTTGGATATCCTTTCCTGGTCTCATCAGCTAAGGCCTCAGTTGGAACTGGGTCACAGGAGCCAGCATGTGCCAATTGAAGGCACATGGGAAAAGTTCCCCAGGCCTGGCTGAGGTAGTCTCTGTTTCTATGGTTTTTATCATCTCACACCTTGATTTATGGAGCGAACTCAGGACTAACTTCACAGACTTTATCTGTCTGACCCCAACCAGGCAGCCCATTGCTGCCCAACTGCCCTTTATGGGAACCATCTTCAGCACACGTCAAAGGCTGTGCCGCCTCGATTTCAAGCTCTCCTTACTCCAACTCTAGCTGCTCCATTAGTGTTACTCCCCACTCCTCCCCAGCAGGAGTTTTCTCCTCCAGCCAGCATTTCCTCCAGCCATTCCAGATATGCCTCCTAGCTCATCCCCCCGCCACATCTCCTCTCTGAATCTCCCAGTGCCCAGCTCACATACCATCCCTCCAGCACATGCTCCCCCATCCCAGTGGACTTCACAGGTCCAGCTTCCCAGCCGCCCTTCCCTTTACTTCATCTGCACCCTCCAGCCTTGTTCTGTTCTCTACTCCAGCACCTGAAGTACCACCCCAGTGGCTGTTGAAAGAGCAAGCCCCTTCCTGCTTTGTCTTTCCAGCATCAGCATTTCCCTCCTGAACCTTTTTTAAATTTTCTCATCTTTTTTGTGCTCTTTCCAAATTCTGTTGGCTGGCTTTTGTTGTTACCTCAATCTGGGGTGCCCCTCTCTTCTTTGTCTACTCGGTGAAACTTTCCTTCAGTGTGGCACCTTCCCTAGCCTCACACCAACCTTCAGGCACAATGAGGTGCCCTTGTCTGGGATTTCCTGGCCACAATCTTTTGTTGGAGCTTCGTCCTGTGCTATTACTATGGCCCATGTGCATGTCTATCTTTCCCATTAGTCATCAACTCTCTGAGGTCATTGAGAAACTTCATTCTTTGACTCCAAAACAGGATCCCAAGTATTGCCACAGAGTAAATTGGCACCTATATGCATTTTTAAAATAATTACAAAATAATGCTTCTCATTTCCAAACTTCTACCCCACTTTCAATGTATTTTGCACAATTTAGGATTTCATCGTAAATAGTCTTATATTGTTCATTATTTTCTTCCTGCATATTATTTCTTATAATTTTCATGCTTTATTGCAAGTAATGTTGAATACATGTTTATTGAGCCTCTATGATGTGGCAGACACTAAGCAAGTTACCTTAAAGGTTATAGACATGACAAAGGGTCTCGTGATTTCCACCCTCAAGCGATTTAGGTTTTATTGAAGAGGATAAAAGCAGTGATCTCATTAAGAGCAAACTTCACAAGTGCCATGGGATCCACATAAGGAAAAGCATCCAAGCTAAGCCATGCTGAATGTTGCATTTGAACTGGCTCTTGAAGGCAGTGTTCACAGAGGGAGATGTGGCTAGATGGAATTTTTGGCCTTGTTATCTCCATGGATACAAAAACATGGGAAGGTTGAAAAATATTAAGTGCCCAGTTTGGTGCATTGAGTATTATAAAAGAATAGTGAGAACGAGGGGGCATCATGCCACAACTCACCTTTATTGTTCACTCAAGGCATTTATATATATAGTTAATAACAGTAGGAAGACATCAAAATCCCTAGAATAGGGCCAGGTGTGGTGGCATATGCCTGTAATCCCAGCAGCTCAGGAGGCTGAGGCAGGAGGATCTCACGTTCAAAGTCAGCCTCAGCAACTGCAAGGTGCTAAGCAACTCAGTGAGACCCTGTATCTAAATAAAATACAAAATAGGGCTGGGGATGTGGCTCAGTGGTCAAGTGCCCCTTAGTTCAATCCTTGGTACCCACCCCCTCAGGGGAAAAAAAAAACTAGAATGGGGATGGACCTCAGTTGAAATTGTTCTTGTGAAGATTAATTTAGCCAATAGTTCTGGAAAGGAGGATCCTAGATGTGGGTGACCATAAGCAGCAAGCACTCAGACCAGGCCAGGACTCATAAGAACCTGGACTCCAGTGGCAGCTGAATTGGAAAGCCAGGACTCCTGTGCGGTGAGCAGTCTGAAGGAAAGAAAGGGCAGTGTGCTGCTCAGCCTCTAGCAAAATGGCAGACCACAGTAAGCAATAAGCAAATAACTGAATGGATGCCAACTTGAACCTTTGATTTTGTAGTTCCAGGTTGTCTATCTAAAAAGATAATGTGTTTTGTTTTTCCTAAAAAGATAATATTTTATTTGTAACAAGGACAATATTTTATTAGTAACAAATGTTCTTATGGAACATTTTTTCCTTTTTCCTTTCTTTTTATCCACTGTGCTTTATTTATTAACAAATAAATTTACATACTCTAAAATTCACAAATCTTAAGTATACATCTCCATCAGTAATGTAGTTTTGGCTTATCTGTTTTTTTCCCCTCAACCTTTTCAACCTGAAAGTGCTTTCCTAAGAAATAAAATATATTTACTATATAATTCTATAATATTTATTACATAGATCTGAGGATGGAGACATTCAAAACACCTTGCTGGATTTAATTAGTGATCGTTGCTGAGCAGCTTTTGTTAATTATTTACATTGCATTGTTAACTGTGTGTCCTCTACTTTACCTTTCTTTTAGAACCTCATCATATCAGCCCAGTCAGCCTGGTGTATCAGAAAGATGGAGTGTTTGCTTCTGGAATTGTAATGTATTTTACTTTTCAAAATTAATTGCTTTCAAGAAAAAAAATTCCCTTTGCTACCATTTACTATTAGGAGCCATATTTAGGGATGTCAAGTTCTGCCACATTATTAATTAGTATTTTTCCCCTTTTGGATGCTATTAACAATTTTTATTATGAAGAATTTTAGTTAGATCCACAAGGTGAAAGAACAGTGTAATGCAGTATTATGTACCTATCGTACTCCAAAAAGCAAAATCAGTTAGAGTCCACTGCCTTTCCCCCAGGACAAAAACACATAGTCTATAACCCAATTCTGTGCTCCTTTCTGCAATAATGTGTTAGGGTGTCAAATATGAATCTGGAACATTTTCTCTAAGTTTTGGCTTAGACCTTGGGCATGACCTCTTGCTTGCATATCGTCATGGTTGAGGTTAGGGTTAGGATCAATATTCTCCTCTGCCTGGAATTCACTTTGAACCAGGCACCACACTGAATGCTTCTCATATATTTTCTAATTGGTCCACACAACAACCTTATCAGGTATAGACTGTTGACATCTTCCTCAGTCACATGAAGGAAGCAAGAGTCACAGAGAAAGTAACTCACCAGAAAATACGTGAAGGACCTTGGCTTGAACCCAGGGATATCAGACTCCACAGTCTATCTTCTCATTCATTAAACATACAGCCTGAGGCTGGAGGATCATAAGCTGGAAACCAGCTTGGGCAATTTAGTGAGTTCTTGTCTCAAAGTAAAATAAAAGGGCTGGGGTTGTAGCTCAGTGGTAGAGCACTTGGCTGGCATGTGTGAGGCCATGGGTGAAATCCCCAGTACTACAAGGAACAACCCCTGCAAAAGCCACAAAAATTCAAGCAAAACAAAACAAAGTAACAAACAAAAAACCAAGCACAGCCCCAGTAACAGCCATATCGTGTGCCTTCATGCTATTGTAATCAACGCTAAGGTTTTTAATTGACCTATACTAAAATCTCAGGTCTACTTGTATCTGTCCCCAGTCCATCACATCTCCAGGACCCTGAGGGCATCTGGGCAATGACATCATGGTGACAGGTGCAGATCTACCTGCAAGAAGCAATCTGGAGCCCAAGCAACTAAGCTCAGCTTGTAACCCACCCCCACAACTTGACAAGTGGACTACCCACTTCTCTTCCCCATATTTAGTCTGCATTTGTGCCCTTTATGACTTTTGTCCTTTTCAAGGCCATCCTCTGTGTTTATTTTAACTTACTTTACAGAAACAACAGCAGCATTTGCTCTGGTGAGGGATGCAGAATGGTGATGAACTTGAAGATTGCATCTGGAATTTCTCCCCCAATACCTAAGGCTCAAGCATCCCATGTCCAGCCATCTCGCAAACATCTGCTCTTGGTTATACCAGGGTTGAATTTAGGAAATGCAGGATACTTTTTCCCAAAGCCTCCTCACTGTTATAAAAATAACTCAAATTGTTTTTAAGGGTAGTGAATTTAACTCAAACCTATTTATAGCCAACCAGCCAACCAACTCAATTTTACTGGATGGCTGCCATTGTCTAGCATTATGTGAGGAACTGGAGAAGAGGATGTGAAGGAAATAAAAGGCACCCCCACCCCATCCTTGGGTCATTTAGGAAACACACATAATAATGATTAAGAAATTTACTTAGAGTTGGTGTCCTTTGAAATAAGGAGATTGCTGCACACAAGCCAACAAACTGCCTCGTTTGTCCCACCTCCTTTACAGTGAAGAACGTGGTGAGAGATAAATGCTAGACAAGCAATAAAGGAGTGATCAGCAAAATTTTAGGGAACTGAAAAGTGTGTCATAACAGAGATAAAATTGAAGAATGATCAAGGAACCTGGTTAAAAGTTGCCTGAATAAATATGAAAGAACAGTGTGTTCTAGAAAGTGTAAGCACAGATGACCACCCCAAACAAACAGTTGTTGGTAATCCACAGACTTTGCCTGATGAAGAAATTGTACTATGCATTGAGCAAGACTGACTTTCTGATTTTATCTCATTGTGTTTGGTCTGTAGGAAGGCTCTGTGTACTCCTTCATTATTAAAGATTCAAGTTATAAAGTGGAGACTTTTCTTGAGACTGAAGGGCCTGTAGAACATATGCTGTTTTCTCCCAGTTACAAAATGTTGCTGATTCAAACAGACAAGGTTTGTTAGATGGTAATTTCTTGATATGCAATTTTCAGATAATATTATTGTCATCATTGCATGACAGGAATAAAAGACAGAGTGTGCCGAATAGTGATTTTCTACTACTCAGGAATCTTACAGTTACAAATGAAAAACTACCCAATTTAAAAGGCCCAAATGAAAAAGAAATGCTCATTTTTTTTCTTCTTTTTTTTTAATTTGTTCTTTTTAAGTATGCATGGCGGTAAAGTGTATTTTGACATATTAGACATACATGGAATATAACTTATTCTAATTAGGATCCCATTCTTGAAGTTGTACATGATGTGGAGTTTCAGTGATTGTATACTCATATATAAACACAGGAAAGTTCTGTCCAATTCATTCTACTGTCTTTCCTTTTCCCATCCCCCTCCCTTCCTTTCATTCCCCTTTGTCTAATCCAATGAACTTCTATTCTTCCCTCTCCCCCACTTTATTGTGTGTTAGCATCCAGATATATCAGAGAGAACATTCGGCCTTTGTTTTGAGGGATTGGCTTATTTCACTTAGCATGATAGTCTCCAGTTCCACCCATTTACCAGCAAATGCCATAATTTTATTTTTCTTTATGGCTGAGTAATATTCCATTATATACACACACACACACACACACACACACACACACAATAGATTTTCTTTATTGATTCATTTGTTGAAGCTTGGTTCCATAGCTTAGCTATTTTGATGTGTCACTGGAGTATGCTGATTTTAAGTCCTTTGAGTATAAACTAAAGAGTGGGATAACTGGTTCAATTTGTGGTTCCATTCTAAGTAGAAATGTTCATTTTCATTCATGTAACTGAAAGAACAAAGAGTGGATCTGAATCCAGGGGCTCCCGTTGGGCCTTATTTCCTAAATCTCTTAACTGCTTCCCCTCTGCAATTTCCATTGCTATGCAGACTCTCCCCTTGTGGCACTGAGAGCCTCATGCAGCTCTCATTTGTACTTCTGTCCTCATGATGACTTTGGTAGAATGTTACCAGCTGGGGGAAAAATGCCCTGGAAAATAGATTCAGGTAGACAAGTCTTATCTACCCCTGGATCAGTCACTATTATCAGGGGGAGTCTAAGCTCTGATTGGCCAGACCTCATGTCTAGCCCTGGGCCCTAGGTAGAGTCAACCCATCCATATATGGTTTGACATTGGGGATATAGGTTGTTCTCTAAAGAAAACGAGATCTCTAAGAGAAGAAGGGAGCTGAATCAATGCAGAGTAAAAACTCATGACTGAGTTATACTGTCAGGAAGACTCCTAATTTAATAGAATGACCCTCAAAGGTCAGGATTGGCATCTACTTATATTGCTAGGCAACAATTTTAGGTAGATTACAAATAAAGTTTAATAAACTTAAATTTGAATATGGAAAGACTTCAGTTTCTGGTGATTACCAGAAGTCAAAACAGCTATTTTAATAAATAAATAAACTTACAACATCTATGGAGGAGAAAAAACTATTTTTAAAATTATCATAACAGAAGAGAAAAAGACCCAAATAAAGTTTCAAAAAAAGAAAAATATGCTAACAAAACAAAAATTAAATGAACAAAAGTAACAGAAGTTTTGATATGGTTAAAAAGGGAATTTATAAACTGGAAGGTAAATCAGAAATTCTTTAGAATGTACCCCAGAGAAACAAAAGGGAGGGAAATACAGAAGGTAGAATAAGAGACACAAATAATACAGTGAAAAGATCTATTTGATTGGCATCCAGACAGGGGCAATACTTAAAAAGATACTGACTTGAAAATTTCCAGAACTGATTAGAGATGAATTTACAGATTAAAGAGGACCAGCAAAGCCCAAGCAAGATCCATAAAACAATATTCACATTTAGACTTCCCCAAGTGAAATTCTTGAAAAACAAGACAAAGAAAGATTTTTTAATTAGTCTAAGAGAAAAGACAGATTACTTCAAAGGAATTTCAATTTGACTAATAACTGATTTCTCTATGGTAATAATGTAAGTAAGAAATAATGGAATATCTTCAATGTGGCGCAGGGGTCAGCAATTATAGCCTGGGTATATTAATATTAGACAAAATAGTCTTGTTTTTTTTTGTTGTTGTTGCTGGAGATTGAACCCAGGGCCTTGTGCATGCACTCTACCAATGCCTGGAATCCTTACCCAAGATAAATGGCTTTATTTATTTATCTATTTATTTATTTATTCAAATTTTTTATTAGTTATTGACGGACTTTTTAATTTTTTTATTTATTTATATGTGGTGCTGAGAATCGAACCCAATTCTCACACATGCTAGGCAAGTGCTCTACCACTGAGCCACAACCCCAGCCCGAAAATGGCTTTATTTTGAAATAATAAAAAATTAAGTTCACCAGGAATATATAAACATTTGAAATACTGAGGCTGGCCTTTGAACTTGTGATCCTCCTGCCTCAGCCTCCTGAGCCACTAAGATTACAAGCTTGCACCACCATGCCCAGCTTGGCTTAAATCTTTACTCCCTTATTTTGTCTTGTAGTATCCTCCTTCTCTGCTTTCTTCTTCTTTTTATCTTCTTACAATTGTCTTTATTTAACTTTAAAGATTTGGGGGGATATATGATTTATTGTCTGAGTCTCCCAGTAAAACATAAGTGCCAGGAGGGCAGGGAATTTCTATCTATTTTGTTCTCTTAACAGAGCCCCAGCATCCATTCAGTATTTGTTGACAGAATGAATGAGAGGTAAAATTAGCAAATACCTGCCAAATTTTGAACTATGCAGAGTTGTATTTTTTAGTTAAATAAGAACATTTTGTGTTTAGAGGCTGGAGTGTGGCTCAGCAGTATAATGCTCGCCTAGCACATGTGAGGCCCTGGGTTTGATCCTCAGCACCACACTAAAATAAAGGTATTGTGTCCAATTACAACTAAAAAAATAAAAATTAAAAATTAAAAAATTGTGTTTCATTCAAGTAAACTTGAACCAGTTGAAACCAAGTTACTTATTGCTGACTAAGTGACCACATTGTATCATAGCTGCTTGACAGAGATGCATACATTACAGATAGATTTTTCTAGTTTTGAGAAGTGAATCTGAGAGCTGAGAATGACAAACAAGTCATAAAGTAACTGCCTCAGCCACATTTTGAGGATTTTTACAAAGGCTTGAATTTTAAATCCATGCCTCCCCTCCCATTGTGTTTAACATGTGCCAGGATTTAGTTCATTTTAAAAACTTTTCTGTTTTTCCATGTTTTCCAACTTCTCTACATAAATACATATTATTTTTAAAATCAGAGAAAGTGTTTTGTTATGTTTTATAAATTAAAAAAAAACAAATGCCTGGAATCAGGGAAGTCCTATTTATTATTTTAATTAGTGAAAATGTATCAATCAATCAATAAACAAATCAAGCATCTAGAGTTTAAGTTTTTTAAGATCAATTCTGTGATTTTCCATCACCTATTCCTACAAGGTGCTTTGTTCACAGTAGGCATTAAATATTTGTTGAACTACATACGCAACGTTGTAAGATGTTTCCTTCTTTCTTTTATCAGGGATCTGTTTATATCTACACTTTTAATGAGAAGCCAACCTTAGAAAAAGTCCTAGATGCTTGTGATGGGAAATTCCAAGCAATTGACTTTATCACACCTGGAACCAAATACTTCATGGTAAGGAATATCTTAATATGGCACAATAGGATTTAAAGATATGATGTTTCTGGCGCTAAGGTTGTGGCTCAGCGATAGAGCGCTCACCTAGCATATGTGAAGCCCTGGCTTAGATCCTCAGCACCACATAAAACTAAATAAATAAAAGCAAAGATATTGTGTACAACTAAAAGAAATAAATATGTAAAAAAAAGATGTGATGTTTCTAGATTAAACTCCTATCCATATCGAATTAGGTAACTTTGGAAATTCATGTACAAATAAGAGGCAGAGGGTATTTTTTGAGTACTTGTAGAAAAGCCAAACACTTTCATCATCAAATCTTTTCTGCTCAGGCAGAATGATGTCATCCTATTGTGATTCCATAATATTATCTTAGAAGCCATCCTTTTAATATTCACCACCCAAGTCTGCAAGCAAGGATTTCAACACATTCATGCTAATGACTTGTTAGCACCCAGTAAACTGTTAGTATTTATCTCCTTCCAGAGTGACAAAGCAGCACCACCCAAGAATGAAGATTAAATATATGTCATTCACACATCATAAATTCAGCCTATTTAGGGAAGAAAAGAAAACTGGTGCATTTAGAAACTGAGTATTTCTGGGCTAGGAATGTACTTCAGTGGTTGGACACTTGGCTAGCATGTGTGAGGCCCTGGGTTCAATCTCCAGGATCAGCAGGGGGGAAAAAAAAAGAAAGAAAGAAAAGGAAGAAGGAAAGAGAGAGGGGAGGGGGTAACTATGTACTTCTTTCCCAATGTCTATTGTTTATCCTTATTGATCTCAAGAAACATATTTCAGTTTTCATATGATTTATCAATGTTCTAAAAAATATAACCATACAAGCCATGCAAGGCAGCAAAAACCAAGAGAAAAACTTGGAAAAAGCCAGAGGGGGGAAAAGGCAACTTACCCAAAGAAGAACCAGGATAAGAATCATATTGAACTTTTCTTCTGAAACCATGCAAACAAGAGAATACTTAAAATATTGAAAGAAAGAAAGAAAGAAAAAACCCTACTAACTTGGAAGTTTGTATCCAGTGAACTAGCCTTCAAAAGTAAAGAAGAAATTATTTCTCCAAAAAATGAAAATCAAGGAAATTTCTTCTCAGTAGACTTGCCTTGCAAGAATGGTTAAAAGGAATTCTTCAGAGACATAGACTTAGCAGGCAGAAAATCAAAATCAGTAGGGACATAGTAAAACTGAACTGCATCATTAATCTACTGCACATAACTGACATCTACAGAACGCTACATCCAACAATAGCAGAATACATACTCCCCTCAAGCTCACATAGAACATTCATAGAGATAGATCACAGCTGGTCCACAAAACACGTCTTAACAACTTTGAAAGAAAAATAAACCATACAAAGTATGTTGTTAGAACACAATGGCATTGATATATAATTAATTATAGGCTGGGTATTTCTGTAGTAGAGTACTTGTCTAGAATGTACAAGGCCTGGGGTTCAAGCCCTAGGACTGTTTTAAAAAAAAAGTCAATAGTAGAAACCCCACCACCACCTAAAAACTTGGAAATTGAGCAACACACTTTTAAATATCAGATATGTTGAAGAAAATGTCTCAAGAAAAATTTTAAAATTTTAAATTAAAATTAAATACAACTTACCAAGTTTGGGGGATGCAGTGAAAGCAGTACTTAGAGGGAAATTTATATAATATTGGATACCTTTATTAGAAAAGAAAAAGCTAAAACCAATCATCTAAGCTACCACCTTTGGAAACTAGAAAAAGAAGAGCAAATTAGATCCAAGTAATTGGAAAAGAGAAAATAAAAATTATGGGATAAATCAATAAAATTACAAATAGGATATTGACCTAGAAAAAGGAGCCCAGAATCTGATTCTTAAAAAAGATTGATAAAATTGATAAAAATTTAGCCAGTTTAATTAATTTTAATTAAATAAAAATTACTAAAATCAGAAACGAAAGAAAGGTCATCAGAGCAAAACCATGATAGATGTTAAATAGATAATAAGTGAATGTGATGAGTTACTCCATGCCCACAAATCTCATAATCAAGAAAAAACGAACCACTTCCTTAGAAGACAATCTTCCAAAACTCACAGAGAAATAGTTATCCAGAAAGGGCCTAAAATCAAAGAAATTGAATAAATAATTAATAAATTTCCAAAGTACAAAGGCCCAGAGGGGTTCACAGGTGAACATTTGAATAAGAGATAATACCAATCTTACAATCCTTTTTAGAAAACAGAAGCAAAAGGAATACTTTCAAACTCTTTTCTCTGAAGCATTACCCTAATAATAAGACTATACAAAAACATTACAAGAAAACTGAACTATAGACCAATATCTCTCATGGTCACAGATGGAAAACATTCTCAACAAGTATTAGTAAATTGAGTGCAAAGATATGTAAAAAAGAATTTTATACCATGACCAAGTGTTTAGTTACACCATGGTTTGTTTCAGGTATACAAGGCTGATTCAACATTAAAAATCAATTAACCCATCACATCTAGGTTAAATATGATAACCTAAACAAGAAAAATCACATTACTTTATCAATACATGCAGAAAAAGTGTTTGGAAAAAAATCTATTTCCTATCTATGATTAAAAACTCTCTGAAAATAAAGGGTAGAAGGTAGCTCAGCCTGATAAAGAATACCTACAAAATACTTTCAGTTAACATCATACCCACTGGTACAAATTCCTATTCAGCGTCAAACTGGATGTGTGATCTAATGCAATAAGAAAAAAAAAGACACAAAAGGTATATAGACTGGGAAGGAAGAAATAACACTATCTTTGTTCTCAGTTGTCATGATTACCTTTGTAGAAAATCCTAAAGAATCAACAAAATGCTACTAGAACTAAAAGATTACACCAACATTTCAGGATACCAGCTTAACATGCAAAAAAGGACAATTGTTTTCTTATATACCAATAATGAGCAACTGGAATTTTTTTTTTTTTGTGTGTGTGTGTGTGTGTGTTGTGATGCTGGGGATTGAACTAGGGCCTCACACTTGCTAGGCAAGGGCTCTACCACTCAGCTGCATCCCTACCACACCATTACCACCCTGACCCTACCTCACCCCCTTTTTTTTGTGGTACTGGTGATTAAAACTGAGGGAACTTAATCACTGAGCCATATCCCCAACTCTTTTTTATATTTTATTTAGAGATAGGGTCTCACTAAGTTTTTTAGGGCCTCATTAAATTGCTGAGGCTAGCTTTGAACTTAAGATCCTCCTCCTGTCTTAGCCTCCCAAGTCACTGGGATTACAGCTATGCAGCACTATGTCTGGCCAAACAATTGGATTTTGACATTAAAAACATTAACACCACTAAAATGAACTAGGTGTAAATCAGACAAAAAGATGTATATGCTCTATATGAGGAAAGCTATCAACCCTCATGTCAAATAAGATCTAAATAAATGAAGAGATAGTATACAGGACTGCACAGGAAAATTGAATATTGTCAAGTTGTCAGTTCTTCCCAATTTGATCTATAGATTCAGTGTAATTACAATTAAAATCTCAGTTATTTTGAAAATTGTCTGATTCTAAAATTTATTTAGAAAAGCAAAAGACCCAGAATAGTCATTACAATACTGAAAGATAAGAACAGTCAGAGGACTGACACTCTGACTTCAAGATTTAGAATAAAGCTATAAGAATACAGTGTGTTTGTGGTGAAAGTACAGACCAGTGGAACAAAATAGAGAGCCCAGAAGTAGATCCACACAAAAATGCTCAGTGGTCTTTAGCAAAGGAGCAAAGGCAGTTCAGTGAAGAATGGATAATCTTTTTAACAAATGGTGCTGGAACAACTAAACATTTACATG